TCCTTAAACCCTAAACCTTAAAAATTAGAGATTATTTAAAGCGTTTTTGCCAAAAATGCCTTGAATAATCAAGTCATAAAAATTGAAATGGATTATTAAAAGTATTTTTGGCCATGAATAACTCTATTAAATTTTTTGTAAAGTAATATTCAAGTTGTTTTTAGCTAAAAATGCATTCAATAATCCCTTTTAATTTTTTTACTTAGGGATTATTCAAGGTGTTTTTGGCTAAAAACGCCTTAAATAATCCCTTCCAAAAAATTTTTTGGATTATTCAAGGAGTTTTTCTCAGAAAACGCCTTGAATAATCTTTTAAATCTTAAACCCTAAACCATAAAAATTGGAGATTATTCAAAATGTTTTTTTGCTATAAACGCCTTAAATAACTTCATTAAATTTTTTATAAGAAATTATTCAAAGTATTTCTGGCCAAAAGCGTATTGAATAATCTCTTTCAAAATTTTATTAGGGATTATTCAATGCGTCTTTACTCAAAAAATGCCTTGAATAATCCATTAAACCCTAAACTTTAAACCTTTAAAATTAGGGATTATTTTAAGGTGTTTTTGGTAAAAACGCCTTAAATAATCACATCATAAAAATTGAATTGGATTTTTGAAAGCGTTTTTTACCATAAACGCTTTGAATGACCCCATATCGATTATGAACCAAAATAAGGGATGGGTAAAGCTTACATATTCCTATCTTTTTCATCTGCTAGACTTTTGTTAATTTAAATGAATCCCACATTGCTTAAGAACTAAGACAAGATATGAGTAAAGCCTATAAATTCTTACAATCCACTGATCATTTGTTTAACAAAATCAGCTGTTAGTTGTGAATAGTGGGGTTTTTTTGCAATAATGAGCTAAATGTTCAAATTTGGAACTTAAAGCTGGAGCTCGTTTGTGTTCGGCTAAAACTCGTTGAAAATAGGTGAACTAAACTCGAAAATATATTGTGGAGTTTGTTAAGAGCTCATTTATTTATAAGCTCGTTTATTACTAACCGAACTAAACTTGAACAGGAGGATACTTGGCTCAGTTCGGTTCATTTACTGCCCTAGATATTCGTACATTACTATGGTTAATTTTTTTGTTTTATCATTTTTATTTATCGATTTTTTAAAAAAATTATTTAATTAAAAAAGATGAAAGATTTAAAAAATAAATAAGGATGACACATTGATATCTAAATTAATTTTTTATTCTCATAAAATATATCTAATAAAAATATAATACAAAAAATCAAAAAAAGTAAAATGGAACAAAAAATTAAAAATAAAAAAGAGCTCATAAATAATGCCACATTGACACTCTCATTAAGTTTAAAATATTAATTTTTTAAATTAAAATATTGAATAATAACTTTATTAATATAATACATATAAATAAATATAAAATTAAATTAATAATAAAATATATACTTTTATATATACCTCGATATGAGTTGAGACAAAGTATCTTAAACACACTTCTACCTCAATCTTGTATCTTATAAAAAAAACTCTAACCATCCTAACTTTACCCAATTAAAAAAAGTTATTTCCTCTTGGATCAAAATGGGTTGAAATTTGTAGAATACATATTGTTTTGACAATTTTATCAATCAACATCTTTTATTACAAAATTTATCTCATTAAAAAAAATAAAAAAAAAGATGAAAAAGAAAAAAGTTAAATAAAAGTATCATATGGACATCTTCTTTAGCCTCATTTTTTAACATGATTAATTTAATTAAAAAAATAAAAATAGAAAAAAATTTTGAAAAACAAAAGGAAAAAAGTTTATTGTAGTATTATATGGACATACGAATTGAGCTTAAAATATTATTTTTAAAAAAATTAATATATTAAATAATATTTTATTAGTTAAAAATCTAAAAAAGAAAACCAATAAAAAGGAAAAATATAAACAAAAAAAGAAAAAAAGAGAGATTATTGAAGTGTTATGTTGACATTCAAATTGAATTTAAAATATTAATATTTTAATATAAAATAATAACTTTATTAATATAATACTTATATATAAATCTAAATTTTAATATATAATAAAATATATACTTTATATATATCATGAGGTAGCTTAGGTTAGAGCAACTTAAATTGCTTTTAACTTGTCCTTGCTTTCTTTAAAAAACTGACCCATATTGACTCAATACCGAATTTTACAAAAATGATCCAAATTGAGGCAGATAAAAACCTATAGGATACTAATTGTTTTGCTATCCTTATTAACTAGCTTATTTTGCTAAAAAATTAATCTAAGTAAAAACCACAAAGATAAAACAAAAAATATGGAATGAAATTAATAAATGAAGTGCTATATGGATAGCTCCATTTACATTATTCTCTTACAAAAATTTTCTCAAAAAAACCAAAAAAAAGACAAAAAGTATTAGATCGAATGGGATTGAAATCCATGGATACGAATTATTTTGTCATCCCTACTTATTGGCTCTTTTATTGTAAAATTTATATAATTAGAAAAAGAAAAAACCAAATTGAGGTGCCATGTAAACATTTAAATTGGGTTTTTTTAACAAATTTATCCAAATTAAAAGAAAAAATTAAAAAAATTAAAAAAAGAAAAAGAAAGATAAAAAGTTAAAAAAAAAATACAAGGCGTTACCTTAAATAAAGGTCAAATAAAAGTAAAAATGAATAAAATTTATATAATGGATAGATAAATGGATTCAACCTTAATTACGTATAAATAAAATATTTTTTTTTATTAATTTAAGATATTAAATAATGATTTTATTAATATAATAATATATAAATATAAAATGAATTAAATAATTAAAGTATAATTTTATATATATACTCGGGACAAGATAGAAAATCCTAAACCCTCTTTTATCTCAACCCTGATTTGAAAAAAAATCTAGATATGATCTCGATTTTCTTAAAACCATACACATATTGGTTTAAGTCGAATAGAAACTCATGAAATTTGAGTTGTTTTGTTATCCTTATATTTATTGACCTTTTTTCTCAAAAAATTTATTCAACTTAAAAAGAATAAAAAAAAATTTAAAACAAAAGAAATGGAAAAAAGAAAAAAAAAAAAGAAAAGAAAGCAAAACGAGGATGACACATAAATTTATTAAATTAGGATATTAAATAACAATTTTATTAATATACATAAATATACATAAATATAAAATTAAATAAATAATAAAACATATATTTATATATATCCGGGAGGAAGAAAATAACCTAAACTCATATCTAACTTAACCTTGATTTTTGAAAAAAATTGATTTGTTCCTAAATTTTTAAAATAAATGCATCTATTGGATCTGGATGAATTTAACCCATTAAATACTAGTTGCCACTCCATATTAGCAATAATAAGTTTATTAAAATATTTATATCATTGATTTAAAACAATAAAAAAAAAAAGAAAAGTCCAAAAAAATCTACTTCGAATGTGATGTCGACACTTTTGTTAATGTTTATTTTTTAAAATTATTAAATTATAAAGATAAAAAAATATATAAATACTTTTAATAATAATAATATCAAATGAGCCTTATATTAAAAATTTTAAAATTTTAAAAATATTTGTTAAATATAAGAAAGGAAAAAGAAAAGAAAAAAGAAGAAAAAAAGTGAACCGTGAAAAGTGAAAAGTGAAAAAAGAATAAAATAGCTTCACACCTTATACACCTTTAACATCAAATAGGGCTTACAAAAAAATAAATTTTAAAAATTTATTTATTAAATATGTAAAAAATAAAACAAATAAAAATAAATAGGTGAAATACCCTTGCTAACAAGTGAGTCTCACAAAAAATTTAAAAATAAAAAATATTTATTAAATATTTTTAAAAATTAAAAATGAAAAAGAGTAAAAAATATAAAATGAAAATTTTGATACAAGTGAGTCCCACACACCAAAAATTTTAAATTTTTAAAAATGTAATTTTTTTTATAATTTAAAAACATTTTTATTAAATATAATACAAAAACAAAAAATCTAAAAAAAGAAAAAGAAAATAAGAAAAGCAGGAAATAATATGTGCACACCCAAAAACAATGGTACATATGCACAATTTATATAGAAGATAGAGTGTTTCTTAAGAATCTTTCATGGTTAAGACTAATTCTTTAATTAATTTCAATACTAAAAAAAAATGATTTAGCAAGTAGAAAAATTCTTTATTAATATTTCAAGCTTGATTCTTTTCTGAAAATCCATATAGCATCTCAATTTGATTCTCTTTTTTGCTTTTATTTTGAGGCCTTTTATTCCTTTTCTTTTCTTTTTTTTTTGTTTTGTTTTATTTAATTTTTAATTTTATTTTTTAACTATATGTGAAAAGAAAAAATTGAAAGAGTAGATTTTAATTTAATTTGTTATATAAAATGCCAAAATGAACACATTATTCACAGATTAATTGACAAATTTTCATTGATCATTATATTTATTAAAATTATTATAAATAAAAATAGACCCATTAATTTATTAAATTTATCTTTAACATTATTTATTATAAATAAAAAATTTAACCCGCGCTACTTCTAGTTGTCATAGTTTATGCATGATTGATGTTTTGGGCCACTGCACCTATTATGGTTGAATTGCATAATTATGACTCGAGGAAGACCTCGGCTTTTCAGTTGAATAGTTCCTGATGGCCTTTGGTGAAATAGCGACGGCGATGATGTGGTTGAAAAATGAATGTGAAAATGACAATGTTACGTGCACTTATTTCATAATTGATTTTATAAAACTTATTTTTATTTTAAAAATTTAAGTAAAAAGTATTAAAATTTTAAAAATTTATATATTATGTGAATATATAAAATAAGTAAATTAGATGAGCGAATACAATCTTTTCGGCTATTGCATATTATTTTTGTGTTCTTGAGCATCCACCACCATTACTCCTGCGGATGAGTAAAATCACCCAAGCACTTATCATGGATGCTGATAGTCGACATTACATTTCCAATAAGTAGTTTACAGAGATCTGAAATCAGCAGTCATAAATCCATCATGTCATGTCACTTTTTGGTGCTTAAACATTTTATTGGTTGTGGAGCAATTCTAATTACATGACATTAAACTTAGAACACTAAAGCCTGAAGGAGAGACAGACCAAATTCGCAGCAATGGTTCCATGAATCCATTCCAAACAAGGTAGAACTCCCCTGCCCAGTTTTAATCTTTAATAGACATTTGAACAAGATATTAGATGGTTTTGAAATATTGTCTTTGACTCCCTGGATCATGTTTAGGCATTAAAATTTTGTGGGTAGTAGTATGGTTGCTAATGAACTGTTTGTACCAAATTGCCGATCCTCTTGGGGTTCTCTTGAGAGTGGTATAATCAACATGGTGGAGGCCAAACCTAATTGTAAATCCTGATGTCCATTCGAAATTGTCCAACAAGGACCATAAAAAGTACCCTCGTACGTCTGCTCCTTTCCTGGTTATTTGATAAAACAAAGCTTCAATCAGAAAATATAGTCTAAATTCCATAATAATATTCAAACCATCTCAAGTCCTGGGTTTGTTGGCAACTCTTCAGCGTCTCACATTTGTACTTCCAAGTTTGTAAGGTATTGAGATACGGATAAGGTTTGTACCTCAAAGCAGCTGCTAGGGCATCCAAGTAGACACTTACGTATTCCACTCTATTGACATCATTGAGGGACTCTTCAATCAGGCCATCCCGCTTGTCGTTGTCACCAAACCCTACAAGACCAGGACCATAATTAAAGAAATTGTACAAAACTAATGACTCAATGCCAATGGTAACACTTTGGGTTCTGTTTCAACTCACCATTTTCTGTAATGAACATTGGTATGTTATTGTACCGCTCTTTTATGTATGTTATTATCTTATCCATTCCTTGAGGATAAACATATAGCCAGTCAACTGCAGTCTATATGCATAAAAGCAAAATTAATTAATTTTCCAGAAAAGAAAAGTTAGAGGTTTGTTGATGGTGGCAGATATGTAGAAGCTACATACCGATTCACCTATGAGGACCCCATCCTTATTTGCAGTTCTTAAGGCGAAGCCTTCTGTCTTAGAACTTCCTGGTCCTTGTTCACACACAGAAAACATGCAGTCCCTTATGTAGAAAGAGGTATAGTGATTAACACCAATAAAATCCAGTCCACTCTTCAGCTTCTCCTGATCATGATTTGAGAATACAGGCAAATTGGACGCTAGAATTTCTTGCATTTCTGCAGGATATTTACCCATTATGATTGGATCTAAGAACCTGCGGTAAAATTTCTAGAGAGTCAGAGCAAGTCCTGATTCTGAATTTATCTACATATCTGACTATTAGTTCATAGTTCATACCAGTTCATGTAGAAAGCTTGAGTTCTCTCAGCTGCTTGTTTGTCTTTTAGGGAGTTGCTGATAGGTTCATACCAGATGGCGTTCATAACAATTCCAATGCTTCCTCCTTGTTGTTTCTAGATAATTGCAAAGAAATATTATGGTTTTCTACAGCATTCTTTAATGCTCCTCCTTGTTTACTCTAGATATGAGTTTTGGATCAAGTAAAAGTAGCAAAGAATATGGAAAAGACTTAGTATTAGAACTTAGAACTAGGGTTATTTTTTTTCCCTACCTGGTATTTGGTTCTGTAAATATCAACGGCAGCAGCATGTGACAAGATCATGTTGTGAGCTGCAATAAAAGGCTCTTTCTCAGAATCCCCACTACTACAATTCCCAAATGAGCTTGAACAACGAGAAGGTGGGTAAATCCCTGATCTATAACCACGGATTGCTACAACATTAGGTTCATTGAAGGTAGTCCAATACTTCACTCTGTCTCCAAAATATTTGAAACATATATCTGCATAATACTTGAAATCTTCCCTGAAAATATTTAATCTATATTAGTGGCAGCCAATCCCCAAATAAGTTAGATGAAAATACAATTACAAGACAAGGGATTGTAAGAGATTAATTGTCACTTACTGCACTTGGGGACTTAGCCACGCCTCATATCTATTTTCAAGTTCTTGAGGAATGTCATAATGAGTCAATGACACGAAGGGTTGGATTCCTGAGACAGAAGAAATTAAAATTATTTTGTTGCCATTTGTATTTGAATCATGGAATTGATGATTAAATATAGTCCCTTTTATCAATTCTGTCCTTTTTAAAGTAGGAGAACTAAAGAGCGACCTTTAAGGAGAAGAGCGTTTATGAGCTTGTTATAAAAATTGATGCCAGCCTTATTAACACTTCCAAATCTTCCCTCTGTATAAGTCAATTTTGAGATTCAGTGAGAGACTGGAAAAACAGCATCACAATCATATCAGACTCATTTATTTTGAAGAAATAAAACTCACTGGGTAGGATTCTTGCCCATGAAATGGAGAAACGATAGCTATTGACTCCAATGTGATTCATGAGATCCAAATCTTCCTGTTTCAAAACCGTTAGGGGCAAGAAAATCACCTTTCCCATCTTTTGAACTGAGAAATTCTCTTTTTCATTAGTCAGCAAAAATATCATTATTAAACCAATGATGATAATATTGGTAACAGAATCATATACAGACTGATTCCTTTTTAGATTTCTGACTTGCAATTTGTTCGTCTTTGTTGTTAAATCAAAGATTTCCATCCCCTTAAAGATTTCTAAAGTTTGCCTGACATAATAATCTGGGCATAGGGTCTACTTTTTTTTTTATCAAATCAGCACAAATGCATTTACCTTTAGCGGGGAAAAAAACAGGCTGAAATGCATCAATTAGCAAATTTTTCACCTAGAAACAGACGATTGGAATAATACAAACCCATCGGAACTTCAAACCAAAGGACAAAAACAAGTGGGCCTCAAAATTTTCGAATCCAACCACCATAGGATTAGGCAAATCCTTATTGTGGGTCATGTTATCGTGTCTACTTCCAACACATTAATCAATTTATAGAACATACATTTTTTTATGAGCATACCATCTTTAATCATGTCCATGATTAGTGTAGAAGATTAAACTTATGAAACACATGCTATCTGTAAGAGCATGCATGCCAAACACATTGTGCCTCTTTTTTTGTGTGTGTGTTTTTGTGTATAAGAGTCTCATCTGATTTTGACATAAACCTAAACCGCATTTGATGACTTCGCCATAAAAGAGTGTTTTTTAAAGAACATTCATAGAAGTCAATTTCATGGTTCTTTCTAAACTAAACATGCTAGATATTCGAAGAAAAGTGCAGTCAATTTTGAAACTTCAATTGTTATACATGGTTGTGCAGTCATTACCAGATATCGATGGTAATGATCAACAGCAATATCTCCATTACTTCCATCCATAATATTACCTGTAACAAGTCCACAAAACTGTTTTGAGCACCAAAGAAACAAAAACATAGAAGACGGGTACCGAACTTGTATAATATAAGCAATCTTACCAGGCTTATGGGTAAATACGTCCCAATTGTTAAGGCCTTTGCCATCACTCAAGAAAGCTCCTTCAAACTGGCAAAAGTATGTCAGAAACAGAATTGACAATCCATTTTTGACAAGAACAAATTGATTTTGAACTGTAAGTGAGAGAGACACAGATAAAAGGAAAAAACCAAACCTGATAAGATGAAGAGGATGTTCCAAAGAGGAAGTCACTCGGGAAAAGTGATGCATCCGACTTTAGAGAGACTGGATTACATAGCAACACTATAATTGAGAAACATATCTCTAACACAAAGAGTGAGAGCTCCATTACAAGAAAGCATGAGAAGTCACTAAAGAAACTTTCAGGTCCGAAGTGACTTATGCAGGAGCCAGGAGGAGAAATTTATGTAGTCACACAGTTGGACTAAGATCATAAGGTATGGAACTAAATAAGGTGTTGAGTTGAACAAACAACCAATAATGGTGCAACACTATTGGAAAAAAAAAAGGGATCCAATTATGCATCGGTGAGAGGGTTGATGTGATTTAACGAACGAGAAAACAAAGAGGGAATAAAACAACTAAATTGACAAAATAAAAAGTGGGCAAATAAAATCTGTGGCACGTACAATTGATTATAGTTGAAGAGTATGATTAACGGTGTATATAAATACATATTAAGATGAGTTAAAATATTGTTTTAAAAATTATATTTAATAAATTATTTTTATTAAATTTAATAAAAATATATTAATCATAAATTTTTTATTTTAAAATATTATCTAAACCAATATTCCTAAGCATCAATTAAAATTTTTTTTCCTCAAAAATCGTTTGAATATTAGTGGATAATATTTACTCAAGAACCACATCAATCCCATTGAAATTGGTTTCCCTAATTAATCTATCAGGCATAAACGAAGAAGGGTTAAATTATGTATCAAATCGACGGTTCATTCATCATTGTCTCCTGGAATCCAGAATCATTTAGTCCAAGCAGCAATTAAGTCCCCCATAATCATGATATGAGTTAGTTGCACATCCAGAAGGCTTTTTTCTGCTCTGTTTTAATCAACATTAGTGGAACTTGAAAGATTCGAAAAAAACTGGTCAATAATGCAAATTGTAGCTTGATAAAGATGTAAAAGCATCATACTGTTTGACAATAATATGCAATTATTAAAGCAGAAAAGGATGAGTCCATATTTTAAGAACATTAGTATGCCCTTTGAGAACTACATTTGTCCAGACATGGCTGCATCCCTTTCAATGCAACATTGGGTTGAGCCTTTAATTAAAGCCCAGCTTTGGCCTGGTGTGTAATCTGTTGATTGTAATCGGTGAGCAGTTTTTCAGCTTTTGCTGAATAATTAGAATTGCTAATATTTTGAATTGGAAATCAGGGAAAATATAAATTAAAAGCAAAGAATGCTGTGGAACTTGATTGAAGAGATGGAGAGCGTTACTACTAGGCGGTGGCATGCCTAGTTCTAACAGTGAAGGCACACCATGATCAGAAACTGAAGAAATCCGATGACATTGCTGCCTGTACATTCCAAGCTGTGAATACACTGAATGAAGTTCCTCTTTCAACCAGCTGAATTTGATAATATAACTGACGAATGGCCCCTAACCATCCATAAAAATGAAATTTCTGACCAACACTTGATTCGTATTTGATAGAACACATGGCTTCAGGCTGTTGAACATGATCTAGATTCTTTAATCCATACAATGAATTTTGTAGAGAATGGAAAACTGTGAGATTGTTCACGTTACCCCTTCTTTTTTTTTTTTTTTTTTTCACTAGTTTTTTTAACTCCTACTATATACATGATTTTTATTATATATTAGATTGATGCTCTCGTTTTGTCGAGGGAATTTTATTAATATTTATAATTTTTTATTGAATTTATTTTAAAATAAAATTTTAAATTATATTATATTAAACAATTATTTATTTAACTAATTTTTTTATATGTTAATATATGTATTAATATTAATATAATCACATTTTATTAATTATGAAAATTAATTATTTACAAATTATATAAACTAACATATTTGAAAAATAACTTTATGTCATCCTAAATTGATTTTAATTAGATAGTTTTTTATTCTAAACTAAATTTAATTAGTCAAATATTAAAAACTTTCATAGGATTTTTTCATCATTCTAATAAAATTCTTATAAAATTTTTCTCACTTCAAGAGTATTAGGAAATCCATTCATTTTCATGAAAAGATTCCATCATTGGATTGACAAAAACTTTTATGATATCATTTAAAAAATTTTCTTTTACAATTTAATTAATTCTTTTTCATTTTTATAAAAACATCTAAATTTTTCATAATTCTAGCAAACTTTAGAAATGTATTATTCCCTAACATTTTTTTCCTAAGGATCACTCATTCATGATCATTAGAATTTCATGATTTGAAAAATTGGTTTTAATTTTAAAATTTATAAATTATCCATCATTCTATAATAATTCAAAAATAATCATTTCTAAAAAATTACACATTTGTAATTTGTCGTCTAGACTTTATCATTGATTTTATCCCTAAAAAGGATCCTAAAATTGTTTGACATTCAATTATTTGATTATCTAATTTTTATTATTTCATTTTAATTTAAAATAAATATTATTAGGATTTTTCTTCTAAATTCACCATCATTTTGGTAGAATTTAAAAATTTATTTATCAGTGATACATTTGCAACCATTTGAAATTTTATTATTTGAAATATTTTTATCATATCATTTTATTTATTATTTCCATTAATCTTGCTTTTTCTTAAAATTTGTTAAATTTCATAATAAAATTATCATTATGCGAAAGATTTAGTTTAACATTTTATTTAACAATTCTATTATTATTTTTTCATTATTATCATTCAAATAAATATCCCATTCTCAAATAACTTTAAATTTTAACATGTATATATTAAATATAAAACATAAATATGAATAAAACAAAACAAAAAACAAATAAATAAATAATTACCCAAAACATTTCTAATTGTATTTGTATGTTTTATGTATTAATCTTTATCATTTTTCAATGTCTTTTGTAATTTGGGCGTTGGAATTTTTGTAATAAGAATTATGAGATTCAAGAAAGGGACAAAAATGAAAGTCTTGAGCGAAAAAGAGGTGCCATCAGGCTTGTAGCATTGTGTTGAGAAAATGAATGGACACAATATTCTTCCATCAACTTTATTCATATCTTTTTTCAAATTCATCCGCCCTTTAAAGAAAATCCCAAAAAAAAAAAAAACTATAAATAACAATATTTAAAAAAAACATTTTATCCTTTCTGGCAAAAAAAAAATCATTCTCTTAAATAACTCTCCCCTTCCCTAGTTTTTGCCATCAGCCATCGACCAATCACTGTCTACCACTGTCGATCAATGACCTTTTAACCCCAAATTTTTACTCCAAACTCATTTCAACCTTTTAACACCGATCTTGCCTCTGTTTTTTTTTTTTTTTTTTAAATCTCTTTAAATTTTCCTAGATCTAAAGTTAAAGTCCTAACTTCAAAGTCAAAAATATTTTTCTTTTGCTACTTCAATGGCAACCGGCTCTCACTATGTTCATCCTTTAGTCCTAAGTTCCCTACACGCCAAAAATCAAGCCCCAAATTCTAGTATAACACCCTAATTCTGAAACTCATCCCAAAACCCAAACCTCACCTTTACTTTTATTTTATTTTATTTTTTTTGCTTGACTGAGTTCCTCACTATAAGGATTGTGTTATTTTTTGTTTTATTTTATTTTATTTTTTAGCAAGAAAAAAAAGAACTAAAAAGTTTTTATTTTATTTTATTAGTTTTAAGACTATGAATAGGGACTGCCATAAGCTATTTCTTTGTGAGTTTGACATTTGTGTAAAAAAAACTATTTTCTTATCTTTTATTAATTTGATTACCGATTTTGAGACATGCAAAGTTTGAATCTAAAATTTTTTATTTTATTGTTGGGTTTAGTGATTGATGGTGATGGTAACAGAGATGGTGGTGGAAGCGATGGTGGTGGAAGCGATGGTGGTGACAACGGTGGTTGTGAGAGTGGTAATGATGACAATGGTGGTGGTGACATTAGAGTGGTGTCTTGAATTGTCAATTGTTAATAATACTTTAAATTTGTAAAAAATTTCCAACTTTGTCCTAAAAAAGTCATGTGTCACACAAATCAGTATAGCTAAATGTAATAATATTTAACAAAACTGACGTGGTAATGAAGTATGCTGATTTGGCAAGAACCTAGAGTAAATTAAGTATAAGGATAGCTTTTATATATAGGAATAGATTTTATAATTTGAAAAGAGTAAGTTTTGAAATAAATTTTATTTAATTTAAATTGATAAATATATTTCAAATAAAAAAAAGTGATATTATGATTCTAAAGTTTTAAAGAAATTTTAAAAATGAAAGATTATATGAAAATTTATTAAGATAAGAATTTTTTTTGAGATTTTTCTTAACTTTAAATTGATCCTTATTTTGAAATGAAAAAACATTAAGTTAAATAAATTTGATCAAGATTTTAAAAAAGATTTATTTAGTACATATTTTTAAGTTTTATATTTTAGTACTAAATAAATAATATGTTTTTCAAAGTGTAAACAAACATTATTTTTTTATATTTCTCAAACCAAATTTATCTTTAAATATTATTTATTTGAGCTTAAATGAAAGTTCAATTGTTGATTTTAAAGTGAACTTATTCATTTTGGACTTAATATAATTTTGATGATATTAGTTTTGAGAAATAGATTAACTTAAGAAAGTTATTTTACAAAAACGAAGTTTTTCAACATTAAACTTATTTTATTTTTCTGTATTAATTCACAAAACTTTAATATTTGAATTTTATATGGTCGGAAAGCTCATTGAGTCTACTATCTAATGGATCAAACAAAATCAAAATTCAAACTTTCTAAAAAAAGATTTTAAATTTTTACTAAACACTTTGTAGTTGTCTAAAAACTACACAATGGTAGTTTTAAAATTTCACCATAATTTGTTTACAAGGAATTAGGTAATGAATTTTATATGGATAGAAAGCCCTTTAAGTCTAGTTTCTAAATCTTCAAACAGTTTTTTATTTGGATTTCTACAACTTAATATATGATCAAATTAGTGAGTAGAATGCAAAATAAAAGACAACCACCTTGTTGGACAATATCGATCCTTTCAAAAAAGGATCGATTGGTTTTTTACCCAAAATGAATTTTTTTCTTCAGGATTGGAAAAGGGATCGATCATTCAGACTAGGGGATTGATCACTTGAAAAAGGGATTGATTGGTACCAAAAAGGGATCAATCCTCTATGCCCAAAAATGTGTATAATAGCTTGTTTTTCAAGGTTTCAACGAGTATTTCTTCTTCCAAACCATCCCCAACGGCTAGTTCTTTAATTCCTCTATAAATTGGATACTCCAACACACCAAAAAAGTTGATGAATCAAAAGAGAAAGAACTAACAAGCTATACTTTCATTCTCTCAAAGAATTAAAAGTTGTTAGAGCTTAAAATCTATATCTTTTGTATTTTTGTATCCAAGCTATATTTCTGTTTATTTATCATTTTTTCGTACTTAAACTTAACAAACACTTAACCTTTGAGAGTTGTTTTAAATTTACATTTTCTATTAAGTGATTTTGTAATTAAGAGAATATGTATCCTCTTGAATTTGTAAGATTAAAATATTGATACTTAGCATAAAAAGTAGAAAGTGTTATGTTACTATTTAAGTTTTAAGAAAAAGATAGAGTTGTAATTTCAATTCAAAAATAGTGCATTGAAGCCTTAGTATAAACAATCAAGAAAAGAGGACATAGGTGCCTTGTGCATAAAGACCAAACCTCTATAAATCTTTATATTTGATTTTTCTATCCTTATCTTTTTACTTTGCATTTGGTTTAAGATTATAAATTTATTGGTTTTTGCATTATATTTTGATATTGATATTAATTTTCCATTCAATTATATTAAAATTATTATTTTGGAAGAATGTAGAGAAATCCAATTCACCATATCTTAAATCACCATCTCACCTAAAAACTTAACAATTTAAAAGTTCAAAAATTTTATTTCATGATTTAATCTTGAATTTGATTCTTCATTTTTTTTTAAATTTAAAATATTAATCTTTTTAGATTTTTTAATTTGTGAATTATAAAATTAGATCAACAAATAATGTAAAATATAATATACATTTAGATAGCTAATAATTATTTTAAATATCTTTATTTAATTTAATTGATAAATAACATAAAATAAGAATTATCTTATGTGTCAAATTTTTTACATGTTGAAAAAATGAACTATCCATGTAAGCATTTATGTAAGCAAACTTTATCAAGTAACTATATATCCTATAATATAATATTATATATGATATGATTTTCATATTTTTTTTGAAATTTTTTGAGTCTTTTTGTTAAATTAATTTTATACAAAAAAAAAAAAAAGATTATGACCAGCTAATCCATATCCATACAATTGTAAATTTTGGAGCAAAGAAAAGGTGTCCATCTCTTTTTTTTTAAATTTCTTTATTTCTTTATTTTTTTGTTTTTATTTTTTAAGTTTTTGGCTTTAAATTTTTAATTAGATCTATATTGTAAAAAAATTGGTAAGGATGATAAAACTACATGCATTTGATAGATTTTGATTTATCATGATCTAATAGATAATTTTTTTTAAATTTAGGATAGAATCCAGTTTTTTTTTTTTTTTTCAAAATTGAGATCAAGTTGGAAAGTTGGAGTCAAGAATAGAGTGTTCCACCTTGCTTAGGTATACATTAAAATATTATTATAACATTTTTTTAATATTTTAATTTTTATAGTAAAATGGGTCTATTGGAGTGGATGAGCCAAATTGGGCTTTAAACGAAACTTTGAAAGTGTCATCCATGTTTGGTTTAGTTCATGAAAATATTTAGTTATGCTTTAAATAACTAAATTTATTATTTACTATTTTAATAAGTGATAGTGTGAAATTTATAATATTTCATTGAAAATTATAAACTAATATTTTTAAAAAATTTGGTTTTTGAAGAAATATTTTATGATGATGAAATATTATAAATTAAATGATAAATACACGATGAAATATTTTATGATGATTTATAATCTAATTATGTATTTTAAACAAATAATTAATAAAATTTAAAAAATAGGTAATTTTCATTTTTAAGATACAATTTTCTTTTTTCTATCCTAAAATTGAACCCAAAAAATATTTACTAAAAAAATTAAGGATAAAAAGTAATTTTATTTTTTATATAATTATCAAAATTACTAGTATTAAGCAAAAAAGTTTTATCATCATCCACTTTTGTAATTTTAGTATTTAACGGTTTTGTAGACGAAAGGATCTTTTCATTACAACCATAAAAATATAAGGACTAATATGCCACTTTTAAAAGTTTAAGGACTAAAATATATTACTTTCTAAAGTTTAAGAACTAAAATAATACTCACTTCAAGCTTTATGGATTTTGAAAGCAATTTATGCTTAAACTTTCAAGCTGTGAGTTTGTGAGCCTTTGCCACTTATTATTGTCAACTAAACATAGCATTAAATGTCTTCTTCAAATGGGGAGTAATTGGAAATGATCTCTTATTTTATTATATTTAAGCATTTTTCTAATTAAATTTGATTCTTTTATGTTTTGAAAAAAAATCATAAAGTTTCAATTAAGGAACTAAATACTGATGGATTTCTTATACTGTTTATGGAAGCAAAGGTTGATGAATTGAATGGGGTTCTTATGCTTTTTCAGTTGATGAACATAGTTTTTGCAAATTTGTCAACTTTTTTATATACATATTGTTATAGACAACCTATAGTGCTATAGATAAAAATTGTAAAGAGTCGTATGCATTAACCTGAAAATATAAATCAACATTCATCTTAGATATATTCTATATAAATTACATTTTTTTTAGTATCACTATCTTTATGCTTCGGCATAACACGAGTTCGCACGCTAGTCTCTTTAGGAATTTTGCTTACGCCAAATCATTTGTGAGCATTTAGGAAAACTTGGGCTTGGTCAGCTAGGAAATAAGGTACAAGAGGATAAATTGAAGAACACTTTCGCCTTTGGTACTCGCATGCGGTACAGGCAGTGACATCTCATTTTTAAGATTTTACTTTATAAAAATGATGGAAAGAATTAGATGGTGAAAAATTCGTTAATCTAATTATTAAAATTAATAATAAATTTTTACTTTAAAATTTATTCATTAAATTAACAAAATTTTCATTTTCATTTTTTTATCCTTTCAATCAAGCAAAAGCATAAGGATCATGATTCACTTACCCAATAAACCGTGTAAATTACCAGTATGGTTGTTTTTCATTTTTTTTTTCTTTTTGGTTTCAAGAGAGAACAAAGACCTATTACAAGTGAGGGGAGGCTTAATTTGAAACCAAGCCCTTATGTCTTTCTAAATGCTTCTTTGGCCACTAAACCGGAAAACGAAATACCAGTATGGTTGTAGTAGATTGGTAAAAGTAGTAAAGAAGAATTTTGGTGGAAAATAGAACAGAAATATGGTGAAAGGGGTGTTGGAAGGGTGAGGACATTGTTGAAACTGAAATGGGTATCTGAACAGGTCCAATCATTTTAGGGCTTCTTTTCTTTGCTCCTTCAATTTCTTTCTTTGAATCTTTGGCATACCATTTAGATTCTATATTTTTCTAAACTGGAAAAGAATCAATCATGAAACCCGCAACATTCATCATTATCATAGCTCAAAACATAACAGGCCTTATTTCAAAATAAATACAATGGCATTTTCTTCGCAATCTACAAATTGAAAAACAAAAGGAATGTAAAATCTACTAGTTTATGGGCAGCATTAAAGGGTACAAGACTGTCATGAAAACTCGTTAATTGCTTCCATCTTGAAGAGGAAATGCCGTGCTTTGTAATATGTCAAGTCACCAAAATCTTGAAATGCCTCACTTTCTCACTGCTTTGCCTGCAGAAAGCATACATCATCTTTCATATTAGAGATTAACTCAAATTAAACTAAAAATGTTGTATTAGATGAAATCTTAACAACTGAAGAAAATTCCATCTTCAGGAGCACTCAACTCAAATTCAAAAACAGGTTAACATTAGTGTTTCAAAAGCAGGGAGTGCTTGATTTGATTCTTTCTACTGCTATTCGATGGCCCAAAAGTACATTGAAAAGCCATTCTGACGAATTTTGCCCCCTAATTGAAAGCAAATTTGTCCCTTGTCTACCAGACTTTAGTCCCAAAATCTCAAAAGAATTCTGGAAAGTCAAATTGCGAAAAGAGAGTAGAGAATATACCTGTGAATAGAGGAAGGTCCCAAGGATTGCAATGGCAGCTCCAAGGGCATTAACAGGCTGGACGGGTGTGTGGAAGATGATGATGGACGAGACTATAACTGAAATTCGCTTCATTGTGTTTCCAATGCTAAATGTCAAGGGAGAAATTTGATCCAGAGACATGTATGAAACCTGATTATACAAGTGGTAGAAGACACTCTGAGCTACCACCCACCTGTAAGAATTCAGAACCACACATTTTTTCTTAGCAACAAACTAAATGGGAGAAAAAATGGCTATTTTGAATAAAAATGATCACATCATAAAGCTTTTTGAATAAATTAAAAACAGCTAAGATAAGGTTAATCATCGTCCCACTCCCACAAACACGTAGGACATAAAAAGTGCAAAAAATGAGAGCCGACCCTAGACATAAGCATATCGAAGTACCTAATTATCATATGCTTAATTTTCCATGCCAATAGCAACAAACAAGAAATGGAGTAACAGAAAGACTGAAACAACAGTTAAAGGAAAGGTAATGATGATTACCAGACAAAATTGGGTCCAATTTGTGAGACTGCCTTCTGCCAGCCTACAGCCCATAGCTGAGGACCCTCAACAGCGATTGCAAAAGGTGTAAGAATTAAAAGAGACAACATAGACAAACATGCGTAGTAGTTCATCCCACTAACAGAATTGCCTTTCATCCCCTTCTTTGAGAATATGTTCCGAAACACGAATGCTAAATTTGATATCATAGCCCCCATAAAACCTATAAACACAACAGCAACACAAACTCAGTATTTGTAAAATTGAGACACAAATTTCTATCATAGGGGGGGTAAGGGAAATCATGCATTCTTACCAGTCATGTTAAAATTGAGCTCAGTCACAGCTGACAGTGCACAACCTCCTATAATTGGCAGTAGTGACAAGTAAACAGGTAGTGGAAATGCTTCCCCTAATAAAAATCTTGAAACCAAAACACTGAAAGCAGGTTCACCACTCTTAATGATATGAGTGAATGAAACTGCCACCTTTGACATGCTCACAGTTGCTGCTACATGCCCAATGGTATGTGCCACCGCAACCTAAAAGACACCACACATCAACAAATCTTTAAATCAGAATTCTATATCTTCATATAATCTGTTTTGCCACTTAACATTCCATTCTTTTTTGCAGCATTAAAATTCAAATTTCTCATATTTTCCTACATGTTAAAGTATAAGGGAAAGAGTTAAAACATACAGGGAAAAGGGTCTTCCAAAACTCAAAGTCGGTTTTAGGAGCATCAGCAACCCTCGTAGCCCAAGATATGAGCATCATAAGAGAGCCAGCAGCCAGAGACAGAGTAGAGGTAAGCCAAGGGAAAGGAAAGGCATTCAAAACCTTCTTGTTATATATATTGAAAACTACATTCAAAGCCCACCAAGTAGCAAAGTAAATTCCAATCTTAATCCTTTTAGCTGCCACCAGTCTAGCTTCTTCGTCTGGTAAGTCAATATTTATGTCCAGAGGCCTAGACCTGTCAGCTTCATAAGCCTGGCACTCTGTTTTCCTCTGTTGGGTCTTATTCGAGATTGCAAGATTCTCAATGGAGGCAACGTGTAGTGGTTTTTGAGAAGAGAAAGATTGGTTAGGGAAGCCATTGTGGACGTTCTTGATAATGGGTAATGGAGAAAATTGTTGTCTGGTGATTGAATGTTTCTTGCGTAAGAAATCTGTAGAAGTGAAAGAAGATGGGAAGTGTTTTATTGAAGAAATCATGGTGTTCTTGTATGTTTTTCAAAGAATGTGAAGTGAGATATAGTCTGGGAGGGATGTGATGTTTCTTGGAAAATCTACAAGTCAGACAGAGAATGTAGAGTTTTAAAGAAGAATTCAACAGAATTAAGCTTAGCTAGAGAAAAGGGGCTAGAGAATGCAAGAGGGAAATGAATGGACGGTGTTGGTTTGGTTTGGGGAGGACAGAAGGGAGGAGCAGAGAGGGGATTTATAGGGAAGTCAGGGTAAGAGTAGAGGACAGAAGATGACTCCGCGGGGCGGCCTGGGGTTTTTCACTGGACCACTGTCAGATAATTTTGGAATTACAAAAATATCCTTCAGCTATGTTTTCTTTTAAAAAAAGAAAATCTTTTTTTTTTAATCAAATCTATAACTTTTGCTATGGAAAAACCAGTAATTTCTTTCTCCTGCTCTCTGTTTGGTTGAATAAGGAAAACAATATTTACAATTAAAAAAATAATAAGAAAATTTTACTATTGAACACTCAAAAGAATTTCCCTTCTCCTTTTTCTTACATAGAGAGGAACAAAATAAAAGTTTCCTGGACTTTAAGCTCAAAAGAAAAATCAATTCACCTATAAATTATCAATAGTGGACTTAAATTAAATTCTCAATTACTATTTCAAACAAAATTACAATCTTGACAGTCAAAATAATGTAAATTTTTAGTTTTTACCAATATATTAAGATTTTATTAACTTTTAAGTGTAAATTGTAATATACTTTGTTATTTTCCAACCCAGAGGTTATTTTTACATAAATATTGAAAATGATTTAAGAATGGAATGACTTTGACTTTGTAGTTTCTACATTAGTAAAACATGCAATTTATGCTACGCGTGCATGTGCTCAAATTGAAATTTTCGACTTCCTCTTTTGTCCTAAACTGGGTTTTGTAACTATCAAACTCGGAAAATCTCAGCCATTATTTTCCCAAATTTTTTTTCCAGCTGCAAAATTTGGAACGTGGAAAACAGTCAAACTTATAAGAAATTTCCTACAGTGTTTCTTGAAAAATGCTCAAAATTAAGCTTCCAAGTTCCATCCCAACCTCAACTTGATCGACAAATTCACGGTTGCTGCTACCCTAAAAAGATTGAACGTTCCTCGTTTGATATTTTCCATTTCTTCTACCCCACAAAAATCATAGCAGCCACTGTTTCTGTTTCCATCTTGGCAAAATCAGAGATACGTACAATCGCTGCAGCAACAGCCATCAAATTCTCAAAAATATTTCATATAATCTGTCTTGCCATGCCAATTATAATTCATGCCATCTAAGATTGACGTAACATCCCATAACTTGTTCTCAATTCTTCACCGCTAATTTTCTTGCAGCGGCGCCCATGATTGAACATGTGAAGACCATCTCTAGAATTTTATTAATTGATTCCAAGCAAGAAAAATCTTACACAGACCTTTATCTACACCTGTCAAATTGCATGCCTTTTGATCGTTGATGTTTATTCCCAATGTTTCTTGTGATATTTTTCATGCATTATTATTTTGGACGGATCAAAATCTTTCAACTCTTTTAACGGCTGATTACCCTTTTGACGGCTGGTGCAAGATGTAAATTGAGTTGTTCAATTTGGCACATACTCGTTTGTTTTCTTCGTGATCATGTCTTTGTTTCGACATTGGACCGAAGACTGTAATTTGCGTAGCAATTGGAATTGGGTTAGGTGAGAAAGGGGAGTATTGTAATCACGTGATCTTCACATGTGTAACCAGTGCATGTCCTTTGGACCCCATGAGAGTGCCAGATGATATATATAGTTGCCAAACAATCCCAACAGCCAATGGAATGCTGTAGGTTTTGGTTTGGTGATTAGGAGGGTGATATTGCCAACAATTCACCAACCCATCATTGCTGCAAACGGGTCGGCAGGATCCTTTTGAGATAGGAAATTAGACCCTAAAGAGTTTAGCTTTTTCAATATTTTTAAAATACAAATAATTATTTTATATTTAAATTTTTAATACATTAAAAATAATATAAAAATAATAAATAATTTTTAAATATAAATCAATCAAATTTAATTAATAAAATTTAATTTCAATTAGTTTGGTTTGAAAAAAAAATCGATTTGAATTAAAATTAAATTTTTTAAAATCCAAAAGATTATACATTAACTGGAATAATCAAATTAATTTCGATAGATCCCTTATCACCCTTACTCAACGCCACATAACTGGTTTGAACTGGTCGATGTACAGTTGTTCTTACACCATTTTTACCTATGAAAGCAATGAGCGGTCGAGCTCATTTAACTAGTTGGGTATTTGAAGAAGGGTATTTATGTCTTTAAGTTTGTCTTTCAGTTTTCCACTCTTTCCTCACCATCCTACAGTTACTCTCTGTTCTGTGCTTCCTTCTCGCAGTAATTATGTTTCCTTGCCAGCCTTCTCATTCCCATCTTACCATCTTCCCTAAATCAACCTCTATTTCCCCCCATCAATGCCAACTCACGACTTGGTTAACAAATCACAAAAAAAGTAAAAGTTTTGGTATTATTGATGCTTTTTTTTATTTTTTAAAAAATTTCAATATAAATTAGATCCAAATTATATTGAAAGGTTATTCAACGACAAATTTTGACATTTAATTTTAAAGGAACAAATTATATATTTTTTTATTTGTTATGTTATTTAAACTCAAAATGAATATTAGATTTGAGTACATATTTAACACAAATATGTTTATTTTTTTAATTTTGTTTTGATATGTTTAAATTATTCAACTTCTATACTTACTTTTATTGCATATGTATTAAATACAGATACTTTTTTAAAAATGAAGAATCTAAAATTTTAAAAATAGTTCATTTCAAATTTTATCAGATAAAAAAAAATTGAAAACGATTATAAAATAAGGTAAGTGTGCGGCTAAAAGAAAAAAATAATGTACTTTTAGTACTTGGTTGAATATTTGAAATCTTTAAAGAAACTTAAAAGTTAATTTATTTTTGTTAAATGTATATAAATAGGACTTAATATTTGTAACAAGTTTATTATTTTTAAAGGATTGTGAATAATTAGTTCAATAAATAGACAAATTATAATATGATTTTATTTTTTAAAAATTATAATGCATAAAATTAAATTCAAAATTAAAAATAAAATTAAAAAATAATAATTTTAATGTGAGCCAACTTAATTTAATTTAATTTCAATGAAATAATTGCAGCAAATATAGTATAGGGTGTCCAAAATGTTTTTTTTTTTTGGGGGGGAGTGGGGGGTGGGGTGGAAGGCCGTTCCATGCTATGCTTACGATCTGCCACCGATGTTATTGGTTATACAAAAAAAAGAAAAGATGAGATCCATAAATTTGTAAATTATATGTCCTATTTAAATAGAATGATTGCATTTATATTGAAATTTTTTATGTCTTTTTTTAAGCAATTTTCTATTCTTATTGATGTTTTGTTTTGCCCTTTTTTTCCTTTTCAAAGGTAGAGTTTGAGTTGATTGACCTTGTGTATTGAAGATATCTCTTGCTCTCTCTCCTTGTATTAAAGGATTCTATAATTTGTGGGAATGAATTAAGTTATAAGATATGATTATGTGTATTATTGGTAGATTTATTTTTTGATATCAAATTTATGTGTCATTCACGTTGTTCCTCTCTCTTAATTGGTTTTAAGAGTTTCTTCTTATTAAATTGTTTATTTTATTATAATTTTGTATATTTTAGTTAGTTAATGTGTGATTGTATAATTGTATTTTGGATGTATTTGATATACACAATGATGATAGGATAAGATAAAATATTATTATATATAATATTAGATTAAATAATATTATTTTATCTTATTTTTTTTGTGTACAAAGATTAAAATATAATAATTTATTTATTAAATAAGATTATTTTTAAAAATTTATACAATTTAAATTATTAATATAATTTTTTAAAGTATACTACCTAGCTCTAAAAAAAAAAAAATAGGGTTTCACAACAAGTCAACAAGCCAATTTCACAGGTCAAGATCCTCCAGGTAGCTTTAGTATCTTTTCATAGAGAACAATTTGATCCCTTATTCCAAAGAATTTAAAACGCATCCTCTCCAAAACTGTTGCAGCTCCTCTTCAGTTTCATAAAAGATCGAAGTGCATTGAGAATTTTGGGCGCACTGGGTTTAATGTTCAATAATGATTTTCCTCGTAGGTGGACAGAGTGATCCCTACCATATCACATGCAACAAATATCTTATAGATTTTTCTTTTCTTTTCAAGAAGAATGTCAGCACAACAACGAAATTATGGGTTTTAATGAAATTACCGATCTACAGTCAAGATTAAGTTGACGTGATTTTTGGAGCATGCTGAGCAGTGCTTTACAAGCAAAATCTGATTGATTTCCCATTATAAGAAGCTCTTCAAATTAAAAAACAAAAGGATGGAAAGTAGTTCTTCTGCACATTTGAGAACATAGGACAAAACAAGATAATCCATCAGCACTCAAGATAAAGAGATGCCTAAAACAACAATTGCAGCAAATTGGTTAGCACTTGAAACATACCTTAAAAGTTTGCCGCTTGTATTATTAGATTTTTCTTACTAGATACTTCTGGAAGAAGCTTATATGCACGAATAGCAGCTGCTCTGCATGTGCTTTGCATGTAGAGACACATAAACTAGCGTAACTGACGACGAGTTATCAGTTCTCAGAATCCCCGCATAGTTATAGCTATGGAGATTTGTTCCAAAAATCATGACTTGACAACGACTTCTTTTGCCATCAACTACATAACCACCTTGACTAACCTCTCCACGCACCATGCATTCTTGTCATCATCAATTGGAACCTCAAGATATAAGACTGTTCGATTTGAGAGTGAAATGACAAGAGGGAAGCTTGAGCTCATACATCATACACAATTTCAGCAATCTCGTTGTCTCACAGCTAAAAAGGCCACGAGCCAAACAAATGATTCCTCAGTATCATCCCCTTCACTATGTTCAGAAGGTCGACGCTCATAAAACACAAGATTATGGACCGACATCCCCTTCACTATGTTCGTGCTGCATCCATTAATGATATTAAAAAAAAGACAGGATGAATAAAAGAATTTCATCTGCCAGCTTATAAATTCTAACCTCCATATTTGAACAGAGATAGGAATATTTCTTTTTATCCATTAGGCAAAATGCATTGTAATGATAAGCCTTTATT